TAAATTCATACAAAAAATTTCCAAAGTAAAAAACATAACTAATGAAAACAATAAAAACTCATTTTCATCCAAGATGACAATATGCAAAAACAAAATCTTCAAAAAACACACATTCACAATAACATGCAAAACTCCCAATCACAAACCCCAAAAATCCATTCAACAATGAAACTCCATTAAAGAAAATTACAATGTGTACCATGAAAACAATGATAATGAAATCCAAAATAAAATAGAAACTCACATTCAATGAAATAATAAAAGAGAAAAATATTTTGTACCAAAAAATGACTTAAAAAAAAAAGCAAAAACCAAAGCAAAATGAAAGGAAAAACTCACACAGAAAAAAAAGGCTGTCTTACACACCACAATAGCTTTACTTAAAACACAAATAGAAACAACACAAAGAAGATTCGAAAATAGGCAAGACTTACACCTATCAAATACAGAAGCAACAAAGAAAACAAGTGTCAAAGAAACTACTTCATCCTCTAACATAGTCAAACATAAAACAACAAAAAAATGAAATAGAAATGCCAACCAATAAAACCCACTTACTATACAAAAAGAAAAAAAAAAGACACGTGGCATTTTCAGATCCCTTCAAGGATCCTTTTTATTTAGGTTTATAAAGATAAGCATCTCGTCACCAAGTATATTGAGATTGACTATTATTTTATACATCATCATGTGAAATAAGATATTATTTTTTTAATTCATGCATCTTATTTAAATCGAATTATGATATTTTTAAAGATATATTTTTTTTGGTTGCTTTCAAAAATTAATCTAACGTATTCAAGTTATATCTAAAATAGAATAAAAAAGTATTAATATAAGAGAAATTATCAAATATATTAATAGTGAAAATTTCTAACTTTATAAGCAGACTTAAGATAATGACATATGTGGCTTAATGTATATTTAAAAAATAAAAAATAATTTAAAAAAGAAGTTGAACATATATTATCATTTTAATTTTACTTGTGAAGTTAAAGAATTTTACTATTAATGTATTAAATAATTTTTTAATATAATATTTTATAATATTATGTAATTATGTCATAAATATAATATTAAAGATTATGATTTTATAATTAAAACAAAACTTGATTACAATATCTTATCATAATTTTCCGTAGTCAGTGAAAGTCCTTCGTATAATAAATAGGACAAGTTTGAATAATATTTTTTCAAAAGAAAAGCCTTTGATTTAGTTGACTGGAATGAGGATTAGAAGACTGTTTGAGAATTGCAAGCATAGACCAAGACAATTTCAGAGACCATCACAGAATTATATATAGTCTTTCACTCATCGGGAAAATCAAGGAACTCCAGCAAATATCAATGGATTCGTGTGTTTCAGAACCCGAACCAGCTTCATCTGAAACTCTCAGCAAGAAGTGTTGCTCTTCATCATGTGCTTTACTTCAGTGTAAATATCTGAGGAGTTGCCTTCTTCAATCACCTCTGATAACTGATAGTACTACTTGTTTTCTTGTTTAATGCTCTTAAGAGAGAAAGGAGGGCAAGAGAGAGGCAGGTCCAAGAAGAGGAGAAAAAGAAGGTGATGATTGTAGCAGCTTTTTTCTCCCTCTATTCAATGAGTATTGGTTAGTTTGATCATATAAATTAGCTATCCTGCTTATCCAAGTATTCCAGATCAGAAGAACCAAGATGATCGTGCAAACAGTTTTTTTTTTCTTTATGTTTTTATTGTTCCATTTTCTTTTAAGGAAGACCTTGGAATAAGCCATAATATGTGCTTAGTTCAACAACTATTTTTCAGCAAATTTTGGTGGATGTTCGTGCAAGCGTTAGTTCATCTTCTCTTGTTTGCGCAAATGAGCTCTGCAATAGTTGGGGTTTAGGTGTTTCTAGTTAGTTAACTAGCTGCTGCTTTTCTTTTTTTTTTTTTTCTGTTTGTAAACTTTGTAGCAGTTCTTCTGCTTTCTTTGAATCATTAATGAAAATTGAATTATCCAAAAAAAAAAATTACTAATTGGTTAGTTCATGCATTTGCACGTTAGCATAATTAGGACAACAGAATCAGAAGCAACAGGTGACAGATGATGATAACATGGATCCTACAGTAGGTTTTACCAATTTCACTACATCCTCTGCAGCTAATGCTCAGCTTCCTTATGGTATAAAAGTATTTATGGATGATAGATTCTAAAAATAACCTTTGGTTGCAGCAATACCTGAAGAACAGAATAAAAAGCTTGGCACTGCTAAAGGAATCTGGTTTGAATCCGTACCTTCATAAGTTTTTGGTTTCAATGACTATCGCTTAATTTATCGGCAAATTCGGAAGCTTGAGCATAGGTGAACATGGTAAGAGCGCTGAAATCTGCTTAGCAGGTATTCAAGTAACTCAACACATGAGTTGGCTTTATTTTTAGGTTTTGTCTCTTATTTGACTATTCTGATCATGATTACAATCTTTTAAGGGAGAATAATGAACAAGAGATCATCATCGTCAAAACTATACTTTTATGATCTTTATGGAAATTGTGCTAAAATTCAAGTGATGGCAGATGCAAGGTGCATCTTTTTTTTTTTTTTTTTCTGTCTTGAATTCCACCAGTGATCTTCCGAGATTGGTGTTACTAAGTTTCAATTTTCGAAGGTCTTGTTGTCATGGATATTGAAATCAAGCTGCTTATAAACTTCCTGTTTCAACTCACATTATTTGCTGTGGGAGAATTGAGCTTTTTCTTGAATTTGATTCTGCTAGGCATTCCAACATGGATGAAAATGAGTTCTCTAAGTACAGCTTTGGCGTGAAACGAGGTGACATAGTAGGGATCTGTGGTTTCCCCGGTTAGTATACATCTATGTTTAGTAGGATTGCTCTTTTGTCTATCGAAAATTTTTTTTCCATTGAAACCTACCATTAACATTTGGAAGATTAATCTGTTTCATATTCTGGACCAAAATATCAGATTTTGTGGAAATTTGAACTGGGAGAGTATGCTGTATCTTTATTTATTTTATAATCGTCTAGTCCCAATTAATGAGCTGGTCCAAAACTCCTTACTTATATTGAGCTGTTACATTTGATCTTAGCAAGCCCTGAATGCAGAAATTCATCTTAAAATGCTACCGGAAAGAGTCAAAGAGGGGAATTAAGTATTTTTCCTAAGTCACTCATGGTACACACTCCATGCCTTCACATGCTACCAAGGAATACAGTCACCTCCAATAGTGACGAAGCACAGTCTAAGGTAAAAGCTCAGAAGGAATTTTTATGCTCTTTCTGTATGTTTTTCAAATGGTAGTTAGATACTGATGTCTCTAGAAGAAAACAACCATGTATGGACCCCTGGAATGACAAGAAATGCAGAAACTTACATTCTAATAGATGAGGAATGTAATTCTGCTTTTTCATTTTTCTTTCCTTGTCATGTGTTCTCTTGAACTTGGCTTCTACTTTCTACTCCCATGGTATGTTTATTGCTACTATTTTGCTTTCTAATGTTTCAATCACTGACACCAGATACTTGAATTTGTCAAGTAATGTGTCTTTCTTTGAGGCTTGAGCACTTGATAATAACTTACTTGATTTTAGGAAACTCGATATCGTCAATGTTATCTAGACCTGATGTTGAACCCGGAGGTTCAGCAAGTATTCAAGAGCAGGGCCAAAATGATTTCTTTTTGCTGAAACTTCCTCAACAATCGTGGATTCATAGGGGTTTGAAGCTAGTGCAGCATGGTGAACTAACGTCTGATAACATGTTTTAAACTTGCCCTGGTGTTTAGTTTACTATAAATATTCTAACCATCCTCCTCAGGTGGAATAGAAACTCCTGTGATGACTATGACTGTTGGAGGAGCTGCTGCCAGGCCATTCGTTTCACATCATAATGAATTGGATATGATGCTCTATATGCGTATTTCCCTAGAACTGTATCTCAAGAAACTGGTTGTGGGGGGACTTGATCGTGTTTATGAAATTGAGAAAGTATTTAGGAATGAGGGAATGGATCTAACTCATCTTCCAGAATTCGCAATGTGTGAATTTTACATGGCCTATGCAGATTATAATGACTTGATGGACCTAACAGAGAATTTGTTATCTGGTAAGCTTCCAATAGCATTTAATTCAGCTTGTTTTATTTCAAACTCACCCCGTAGCACACTTATTTAACTTGACAGGTGTTTAGTATAGCCTCCTTGATTTACTTTAAGCATTGATGCAACTGTAACTTTTCTGTTGGATTTTGTGCATACATATCTGTTAGGCAAGTCTTAAAGAGTGAATGATTTGCAAGATTGTAAATGTGCATGTATGGTGAAGGAGATGACAGGGAGCCATAAAATAAAGTACCATGCTAATGGGTTTGACAGCGAACCTATAGAGATCGATTTTACTCCACCTTTTTGGTAACTAAACGTACTAGTATTTAATATCAGATAGGTTATCACTGAAAGTATTATCAGATATTGCTTTGAAGGGTCTAATTACCATTGTTTCCCTAACTTCTGTAGAAGGATGGATATGATAGAGGAGTTGGAGTCTAGGGCAAACCTCAGCATACCTAAGGATCTTTCTAGTGAAACTGCTAGTAAGTATTTGTTGGGAGCTTGTGAAAACTTTGATGTCCATGCCCTCCTCCGCACACCATAACTCGGTTGTTAGACAAGGTCATTTCTTTCCCTAGTTGATTAGCAATTACCTTCTATACGTATAACATCAATTTTGAGATTCATATATCTATTTGTTGCAATGTCACATCTGACAGCAAATCAGATTCCTGTTAACATTATTTAAAACTGCAATATAATGTTAATATGTTAAAATTGATAAGCAACAGTTGATTTTAATTAGATTTTACGCAATTGATTATTTTCTTTTAGAAAACTGTTTGAAAATTGTAAATAATAATAATAATAATTAATTAAGGGCTAGTTTTCAAACGTTTGATTTTACAGACTTTATTCAAAGATAATGTCTGATCTGGCCTACCCTCTGTTACTTATCTTAAAACGTAAATGCCCACCACTTCGTTCGTCCATTGTTTTGTTTTTATATATAAAACAGCCTAAACCTGCTTGCCAAGTCGCCATATTCTTTCTTTTTGTCCGATCCCAGATCTCCCACTTTTCTATCAGATAAGAGAGAGGGGAAAAAATCTCCTTTGATCACCATGACACTTCACTCCACGATTCAAGGTTCGTTTTTCATAGATGAATTAATTATCGAAAGTTTCTCTGTTTTGTTTTGTTTTTTTTTTTTTAACTCTTTATCGCCGTTTGATCATAATTTTGCTCTTAAATGACATAAGGAATAATGAATTTGAGTGCCCAATTTGATTTAACCAAGCAATTACCAGTAATTTTTAAGAAAATTAATAGTAACTAGCAATTCCGTGCTTTTTTTGCTAAAAAGTTAGGAGCTTTACATATCATTTCTGGATATTTTGCTCTATTTAAAAAAAAAGTAATAATAATTTCTATTAGCTGTTTTCACCTATGAGATATGCTAAGTTTTTGTTTGGTCAAATAAATTTCTGGCTTTGATGTCTCACAGATGATGAAACTGACAAAAGTGCCAAGCCTTCTTATTTTAACTTACCACCTTTGGATGTTTCGGTTGCATTCCCTCAAGCTACTCCTGCATCTACTTTTCCTCCTTCTGGTACGAATTTTATTTATTGTTCTCTGTTTTTAGCTCTGCTGCATATTTGTGTTGCTTATATTTATGCATCTAAACTTGTTCGAATGTGAGGCAAGCTTGATTTTTCTTTTTTTTTTTGGTGGAGAACAATTATTGGTTCTAGAGTGGTAGATAGGTTTTTGACGGTTGTTGTTTTTGTTATCTAATGGGAATTCTTGATTTCTAATTATATGTGTGTTTTTCTCTTGGAAAAAAATACAGCTTCTGACTATTATCAATTTGATGATCTATTAAGTCCTGAGGAGCAGGCTCTCCGTAAGAAAGTACGAGAGTGTATGGAAAAAGAAGTAGCTCCTATAATGGCAGAGGTAACGTTTTAATGTTTTTCATGAACTTTTTTCACAACGTGGATTGATGACTGCTAAATGATGTGATTTTTAGGGTTTAATTATTTTTTCTTAATGTATATGTTCAAAATGAAAGCCACTGATTTGCTATTTTTCTCTCAGTACTGGGAGAAGGCAGAGTTTCCATTCCAACTAGTTCCGAAACTTGGTGATCTCCGTATTGCTGGTGGTACTATCAAGGTTATTACCATAAGGATTTTGGTTTTAAAATTGTTTCTTTCTTGAAGTGGAAATCAAGTATGATGTTTGGTTACTTCTGACTTGCAGGGTTATGGATGCCCAGGTCTCTCCCTTACTGGAAGTGCTATTGCAACTGCAGAGGTTGCTCGAGTTGATGCAAGCTGTTCAACTTTTATCTTGGTGCATTCATCTCTGGCCATGCTTACCATTGGTGGGATATATGAAATGACTTACATTTTTCTCTATATATTATTTCTAATTGCTGACATCATTTTTTTATGATTAATTTTTCTTTAAAAAAATTATATAAATTAATTATGACTTTGCATAACTTGTTTGGACCATCAAGAATAGCATTATGCGGGTCAGAGGAACAGAAGCAGAAGTATTTACCTTCTTTGGCACAGTTAAAAACTATAGCTTGTTGGGTAGGTTTTTTCTTTTTGGCGTTAACATCTTGGGAGGTCTTTAGTGTCTTTTTTCCAACTATAATTGAAGAAAATTTTTTAAAAAATAATTTTACTATTATTTTTAGGCCTTGACTGAACCTGACTATGGAAGTGACGCTAGTTCTCTGAAGACAATTGCAACAAAGGTCCACACTCATCCTTGTATATTGGTTTTCACTTGTCTTATTTTAGTATAGCTAATGACAATCACTATGCAGCATTCTAAATTTTATGCTGTATCATGTTTGCTGTCATCTCACAGGTAGAGGGAGGTTGGATTCTTGAGGGGCAAAAACGTTGGATAGGAAATGGTACTTTTGCAGATGTGTTGATTATTTTTGCCAGAAATACCACAACGAACCAGATAAACGGGTAGGTGAAATAGCGTATAAGACATAGGATGTAGCATTTGGTCTTACACAAAACAATCCATCTGATGCTTAAAAGATAGACATGCTTGTATGTTCACTAGAAGCTAAAAAGTATTAGCAATCATAGAATGAGAACCCAAGATTGAATTTATATTCTAAACCACCATAAAGGACTTAATGATCCTGAAGAAGTAGAAATGCTCAGCCCTGATAATAAGTTTTAAAAAATGGTAAGACATATATTCAGAACCTTTTCCTTTACTGAATTTACCAGTGGTTAGGATTATAAAGAACAAAGATGGAACGATATACTACTGGTTGCAAACCTCAAGACTACCATGGGCATGAGCCATAATTTCCCAAGTTCATGGAAATTATAAGCCAAAAGAAGCTGTAAGATTGCTAATAGAAAGGTAGCTAGATTCATGGAATGCTGTTTTTCCTTAAACGTAGAATGCTTCTACCTTCTGTTTCAGATATATAGTTAAGAAGGATGCCCCTGGATTGACAGCTACAAAAATAGCAAATAAGATTGGGTTACGAATTGTTCAAAATGGAGATATTCTCTTAAAGAAAGTCTTTGTTCCTGATGAGGACAGGTTACCTGGTGTAAACTCTTTTCAAGATACAAGCAAGGTTCATTCTAATGACCTTCCTCAAATAATGATATCTCATCTCAAGTATTTCTGCTTTCTAATTGGTTGATAATCTCCAGTTAGTGGTTTGAATTTCACCATTTATTTTATAGTAATATTTTTTAATATATCCTGCCGCTAATATGAATTGCCACTATGAGAGCGCAGGTACTGGCTGTTTCACGAGTAATAGTTGCATGGCAACCTATTGGCATTTCGATGGGTGTCTATGACATGTGTCAGAGGTATTGCAATGGGCGCTGTTCTCCTATTTGAGCAATGACATTTCAAGCTTTCAAGATGACCTGTTTCTGAATTTGCTATGATGTAGGTATCTGAAGGAGAGGAAGCAGTTTGGAGCACCATTGGCAGCCTTCCAAATTAACCAGCAGAAACTTGCTCTCATGCTTGGTAATGTTCAAGCAATGACCCTTGTTGGTTGGCGCCTTTGCAAATTATATGAGAAGGGTAAAATGACTCCCGGTCAAGCCAGCTTGGGAAAGGTATAAACATTTAAGATACATAAGCCCGTGGTTTCATATGAGATTTCATTCTGACTTCTTAATCTTGACAAAACTTTTATGATCTTCAGTCATGGATTACCTTGAAGGCAAGAGAGACAGTTGCTCTTGGACGGGAGTTACTTGGTGGCAATGGAATTTTGTCTGATTTTCTTGTTGCGAAGGTTTGCATTCTCTGCTCTCAAGTCAAAATCACTTTTTCACATTTTCCTGCAAAAGGATGCCATTTGACCAGAATGCAATTTGGTAAACCTAATGCAAACCTGAGATCCAAAAAGTCCATAGAGTACAATGAATAGCTGTTAGATGTATGCTTGTAGTGAATTTGGCACACCTAAGATTTGTTCCTAATTGTCATCCAATTAGGTTTATTGAGTAGTAACACGACCTGCGTTTGTTTTTAAAGAAAAAATTCTTCTAGAAACCATCGTGAGTTTTCTTGTTTTGGTCGCCATGCAGGCATTCTGTGATTTGGAACCCATTTACACTTACGAAGGCACTTATGACATCAACAGCTTGGTAACTGGTAGAGAAATCACTGGTTTTGCCAGTTTTAAGCCGGCAGCAATGAGCCAGCGAAGCCGCCTGTAGTGTAAACTTTCTTCCTGGACTCTGTGGGAGGAGATTCCTTTAGTGATGGAAAAAAAAAATAGTAAGTTCTGTATATAGCCCGTTGCACAGTTGTAATAAAAGAACAGCTTGCTTAATGCTTATGCGAATCAGCCATATTATTTGGGAATTGAATAAATTTATCGAAGTTACAAATATGTAATAAGCTTCTTTAGATTTTAAATCGAGTACAGATCGTGGTAGGTACCTCTGCTCCTAAGGCAAGTAAATGCGCATACAACAACGAAGGGGAAATCAAAGGTAGAGTTCAATTCATCAGCCCGGGGCCAGTGACGACCTTAGTCCTGGCCGAAACTTTCCTGGACCCTAGTCCGTAGCCGTTGAATACTTTGTCAAGTTGTCAAAAGCACCCCTAAACAAATAATTACAAAAGATGTCATATACAAACTATGCTCTAAAAACTATCATGAATCACTGTTTCATTCCTTCCTATATCTATCAGCACCTTTTTGCAGCCCCCAATTCCTAAGCTTAACCAACAACAGTGTCACCGCTGTCAAAAACCCTACATTCTGCACTGGATTCAATGTCTCCATAACCTTCATTGCTATGGTCATCCTCAGCAAATCAGCGGCTGCTACCACTTCCTCCACCGCGTTCCTCAAGATGACCAGTGCTGCCTCCTCTTCTGCATTCTCTATATTCATCAGTCGTGCTCGTTTCCTGGCTATCTCAATCAAAGGCGGAGCAGCAATGCTCTCTTGAACCCTCGCCAACTCGTCATTAAGCGCCCTTTCTTCATATCTTGTCTCCTCGATCAGTTTCTTTATTCTTTCGCTTTGGTCTTGAGATAGGTCATGCACGGAGTTACAAACAAGCTTCAATACAAAACCAGGCTTGAAACCTGATATCCAAAGCTAGGCACGCTCAAAGGAACAGAGCCAGTTTGGAGAAAGAACAAGGAAAATATTGCGCTTTGCTACTCGAGATTTTTCTTCAAAGTACTGTTGGTAGTGGGAGAGTACTCGGGTGATGAGGTCCTTGAGATCATCTTCTTGGGATTCATGACCACGTTGTTGAACAGATAGTAGCTCGTCGAGGTACTGCTCTTGGCGCCCTAGCCAACCCTCGAAGAATGTATCAAAGGAGCCAGCATTTTTCTTAGTGCCGGCGTTGGTTCCCGGAGTCATAGCAGGCAAGTAAGCCAACAACAGGAAGATAAAGAAATATCAATAAAGAGAAGAGAAAAAAGTGATAGGCGTGAAAAAGAATAAATAAAAGTGTTGTTTATATAGCAGGTGATTCTGAAAGGTGGTTGTAGGATTGAAGTAGGATCAGAGTTTTTATTGCTTGGTAGGAAAGAATTCTCCTCTTTCGCCTAGAGATGGTGCTTCAGGGTTCACGGGAGACGTGTATTTTTGGCGTGAGATAGAGATAAAGAAGGCAGGGCCTATATTTATTATTATTATTATTATTGCAGTCTTGCTGTCTTGAAGTTTGTTAGAGTAGGAAAAGAGGGGATGAATAGAGGCGATCTTTGGTGTTAAAGGCAACCGACACAACAGACAAATTGAGAGGGCAAAAGAGGAGGCACTGGGTGAGAGATTTGATGAGTGTTGGAAGAGACAGGTTCGGTGAGTTTTGTCGTCAAGTGAGGATGTTTAAGGAGCACTTTTTGCACATGCTGAAATTAGAATTCATGTGAACTGGTTACTAACCATGGGAAGGTGAACATGGAAAACCAAAGGACAGTTTTGTTTGATGCGTAGTGGGATTTGGCTGTAGCAGCCTTCCAGTTGCTTCAACGAGAAGAAAGACACGTTGTTGAAGCTGCATACTTGAGGAACAAGAAGCCAAGCAAGTAGATGCCCAACTCATTACTCTGATTTTTTACTCCTTTTTCTTTTTCCTTTTCATATGTGAATGAAAGCCAAGGGAGGAGTTTGCTTGGGTTCTCGGGGTTCAAAGCTGGATGGAACAGTACAGCGGCAAACGGAGCTTAAGGAGTTTTTGTTTCATTTATCACTTAAATCAGAAAATGGCTGTGGTTCCGTTGCTTCCAGGTCGATGGTTGACTAGACATCCACTGAATTTACTCGACGATAATCCAAATTGCTGGCTCCATGCTACATTTCGAGACCTTTTCGTCTTGTAATAAAAGCCAATAAGTAGACTGTTTGTGTTAAATAGTATAAATATTTAGCAGTAATTCTTAAATAATAAATTTTAAATACATCAGAAATTTTCAATTTGTATCCTTTTTTTTTTTTTAAATGATTCGCTGAATCCACAATTGACAGAAGGCCATAGTAGTTTACAACAGGCCACACAAGCGAGGCCTAGAACAGAATTGCCTTCCATTAGCTTTGACCAAAGCCATAACTCCAGCAGTCACTCCAGCCCAGAAAACAGAAGAGACATAATGTTGTGCGCTTCGACCAGCTACAGAAGTTAAAGGAAATAGTTTTGACACTTTTTAGTCACCACAGCAATTCAAAAATGTGTACAACCTTGTTTTGTTAATCACAATTCCAAACTAATAGAGAAGTGATACCTTGCTGAATTGTGAAGGTTGTCAATGTCAAACCTCCTACTAGCAAAGCTGATGCCACAGGAAGATACTGCAAAATTTCAAGGTATAATAATGAAAAATAACCATCCAAGAAGCAATCTACAAATAACAGAGAAGGGCAAGTCCTAAAGATTCTTTGACATGAATATTTAATTAAACGCCAATGGAAATATGATGATACATACAGAAAAAGATTCGAAACTATTTAGCTGGAATGGTGAAGGGTTGTTTCTGCTGACAGTATAGCGACCACTTACAAGATCCAATGCATCCTGAAAAACATGAAACTTGTTTGATAGAATTTTCAAACAATTTTATTATTTACAGTTAGGTCTCTCTCATTTCATTGATTGACAAAGCTTAAGAGGCAGCTTACCTGCCGAATTCCATCGTGAAAATTGTTCAAATAGTATCTTGATACTGCACTCATCCCATCTTTGATGAGTCCAGCTACTGTCTGTTTGCCATATCTGCAGAATTATTGTCATCCAAAAACAATCACATATTGGATACGAATAGATACATATTCTTTTCAGAAATTGACTCCCAAATTCATATACCTAACAAGGTCCCCTTTCAGTGCATGAGTCCCAGCATATTCAAGACTTATCTCATCGCCTTGCTCAGCCCACACTAGCATAAGTGAGACAAGTGAGACAAGTATTTAGCATGAATAAAAAGACATTATTAACTCATAAATTAAGATGGAAAATCAGCAATGTATGCAAAATAACATACGCGTTCTGAACTTTCCATAATCTTCAGCAAACAATGGAATGCACTCAGTAGACGTAAATACCCCAAGCCTTTGCAATTGGATATTTAAAGACTTCCGAGCAAGGTAACTCTATTTAACAGAATAAATAAACAAACAATAAAAAACAGAGCTTAAAAGATCCTTTGAAGTATTATAGAAATTAGAGCATATAAAGATTAGCTGGTCAACATGGATATTTTCAACTTCAAGCAGTTTATATCATAACAAAGAAAAACACGAGTATATTTTCCACAAACCTGGGTCACATTTGTTCGATCAAGGCAATCAATGCAGTTAGATCTAATAATGCCTTTTTGCTCCTCCAGGATGTTGCCATCTGTGTCTATGAGAAAGTATCTGCTCAGCTGGAATAGTGATAGTTAAAAAAAGTACTCTGGATAGATAGCACCAGGATCATGGCATACTTTCAGGATACATATTATGTTATACATTATATTTGTTCTTCTTACCCTTGCTTTTCAAAATCCTCAGAGATTTGATCATATAGAACTCCAAGGTTATCAAAGTTTGAGTTCCCACAAACATGATGAAAGTCAAATGATACATATCTGCAGGACAGACATGCAAAAGATTAAGCTGTAACAATCAAAGTTCCCTTATTGGCTCTTCAGTTCCTGAAGGAAGCAAATGATCTTAATTTAGGAAACATGTGTATCGCTTTCCATAGAATGCAATTGACATCAAGGGCAGAAAGAAGTTGCCTAAAAAGAAGGGCAAAGGTGGGGGGGGGGGGGGGGGGGGGGTGGGGCGCTTCACCAAGCTATGTACCATCAAAAGTATACCAAGTGAAAGAATCTTACAACAACAACAACAAACTAAGCATTATATCCCATAACTCTAGTGTCGAATATATGTGAGGCTAAAAAAAGGAATTATGTTAGGTCATAGTTTTGAATCTTCTTGCACCACTCATTTCTATTAAAAAAAAAAAAAAACTGCTCATCTACTTTCTTAACCCTCATATAATTTCTTATTACTTGCATCCACATCTTTTGTGGTCTACCTCTAGAAGTTTTGATCTCTCCCAAATCCAAAAGCTCATTTCTCCTAACTGGTGCACAAATAGACCTACGTTTCACATGTCCAAACCATTTCAAATGACCTTTTCTCATCTTTTCTTCAATTCAGACTACACCTAATTTTCATCAAATCTATTCATTTTTTATTTTGTCTCTTCTAATCTTACCACACATCCATCTAAGCATTCTCCTCTTAGCTACACTCATTTTTTTCTCACGTTGTTAAACTAAGTGAAAGAATCTTCACAATAAAAAAATAGCTAAACTGATACTCAAAGAATCAATGTTTATTCATGGAAAATCATGCTAAGGAAAGATCAAAAAGGACAGCCAACAGTTATCTAGAAGTAGCAACAAGCCAACAACTAAAAAAAATCCTTTGCAAACTAATATATTTAAATACATAGGAATGTAGAATGTCACCTAACATTTGGAAGCTTTTGCATCTCAGCTGAATATGCAGCACTTAGTTGACCTTCATCACCATGCTAAAATATCAAAATAAATGAAAGATGAAATATTTGCTACTCAGGAGTACAATGAAATATTGGAGCTTTACATTAGACCTGGCAATTCGTGTATTTGTGTCGTGTAAAAAATGGGAGCATATCACCTAAAATACCTTTTACTAAAATCCTACAATTATCCAATCACAATAAAGAATTATATAGGGGTTCATCTATAAGTGTGGATTCCACATAAAATTTTGATAGATCCCACACAATTCTAAATTGTGATTGGTTAATTGTACTACAATGATTATAGATGAAATGCTCCCATAAAATACTAGCAATTCATGTATTTGTGTCGTGTTTTACACGAAAATTATGTGTCACAATTCGTGCTGACACGAAAACGTGAAAAACATTTCTTTTATTTTGTTAGGCCCATATATAATTTTTGCTAAAATTTTAAACCATGTTACATTCGTTTCTTTTTTCATATCATTTTCATCTCATATCCCCGTATCATGTTTTACATTGCCAGGTCTACTTTGCATAAAAGAGTCAAAGCTTGTGTACAAAGTCAGTAAATAGTATAAAACTTCGCAGTCTGCTATGCATTTGAAACCAGCCAGGAAAAATAAGTGGATTAGCTTGCAATTATATCCAGCAGCTCTTAACAACAATTTTCCAAACAAGATATATAAAGCCATTTGCAATCTCATGCTCGATTTTTGCTAGACAATAAAGAGAAGAGAGAACAAGCACTTACTTTTTCTGTCAGATCCAGTGCTATAGTTTCTCCATATCTTTGAAAAAGATCATGGAAATGGCGCTCCACAACTTGTGGCTGAATGAAGAGTTGAAAGTGCAATGTTAAATCATAAGCACCACTGTTCAGTGAGAATGATAAAAAAAGAAAATGCTGTATTTTCAAGAAAAAATATACTGTGTGCTCATGGTTAATAATTCTAAGTCGTGGTTTATAGCTTAAATCAACAATCTGCTCCCAAAGCAGTGGAATAGAGCCTCGTATCTGAGATGGAAAAAAGCAAATAACTTTACAAGTTGAAACAAATCACTTTTTCTCCATTGGTTAGAAAAATAGATTTCATCAAAACAGAAAATGAAATAGCGATGAGTTTTTCTGAAGTCACAAAGGACAGTAGACATACCTGCAATAATGAACACCTGAAACCTTCAAGCTCCAACAACTGCTCGGTTTCAATAAAGTTAGCAGTGTCTCCTTCCAGGTTTGCTCCCCTCCTCCACATACGTGTCCCTGTGATACCATATGACTGTATTTTAAGGCTGCTCAGGTATAGCATCATTCATAATTAAAAGCATAGTTCATCCAAAAACATTTTACCTAGGCGCCGTGTACACCTCCTTGAAAGTAATGTACATGTGGTAGGTGAATTCTTCAACTCTAGCTGAGCCATTTGGAAACTTAAACCTAGGTTAAGTGGAAACAGCAAAATAGGTTTTCAAAGGAAATATAAAATAAAATAAAGTCCTCATGAATATACATGATAGGTACAAAGACTCATCTCCTCATTAGATATACATGCATATGCACAAGCCACTCACTCGCAAATCAGTTCAAAAGCATGAGTAAACAGAATTTTAAGGATATTTCCTTGTAGGAGAGGGATAATGAACTCGTCAAGCTGCCACAGCAAAAGTAATTGTGTCAAAAAGGTGGAGAAAAGAAAGAGATATAGCAATTTCATGATACGGTTGGAAAAGTTCACATCACTTATCAACATTTTAGAGTTTTTCTTTCTTAGGACAATAGTAGAAGTCACTTTGGTATGGTTAACAATGAAATACTAACAACATAAGAAGCTAATAATGTTATAATATACAACGGGAAAATATCTAACCTTATACTCAATAAGTTCCTCCAAAAGATGTTTATTCCAAACAAATCGAGGATCAGCCTGAAATACACGGAAAATTGAAGTTAAAAATCATTTGCATGTATTGAATAGCTATATGTTGTACTATATTTTACATACAAGGTAAAATTCCATGCAGCCAATAGTCAGCCTCCTACCATGAGAATAGTAATCATTTTTTCAGAACAGGAACTCATTTTTGAATCATGAAATTAATAATGGGCAAGTGAATATTTATGCATAAAATAAAAGGAAAAGAACTCCCTCTTTTTTTTCTTATCTTCTTCCTGAACTAGTTCAGAAAGAGAAAATTGCATAAAAATGAGATTAAGGTAGTTTGAGTGTTTGACTTGAACAGCAAAGAATCTCCAGAAACTAGCAGCTATAAAGAGTAAGCATATGAACCATATTCACGTGTTAAACAGCAAGACCTCACTTTGTAACATTAACAAACCGATATCCACAGCCAGAAGATTTAAAAAAACACCAGAAGTGGATTTTTTTTAAATTAAAAAAGTTTAACAAGCTTTCCACGATGGTCCAAGTATGGTAAATAACCTGCTTCCATATTGGTTTGCTCATCCACCCTTCCATTAACTTGCATCTTCTCTGCAAGCTGGTCCACACGATCAAATGCATCTTATAAACTTAATACTTGAAAAACATTCGTTACATAACAATTAAAACTCAGTGACCATGTGGCTAACAGTGGTTTTCTACTTAAAAGCATATTGCAAGGGAAAAGAATTTACTTCAATGTTATATCTGTTTCATATGAATAGTACAATCCCGGAGTTGCTTCGACTGTTTTCAACAGAGTCATGAAGTAAGCCTCATCTCTTTTCTGCTCAAAATAAAGCATTACTTGTTTTGATATAGAAGGGTCAAACAATAAGCATCACAATAGATCAAACATTTTAAAGACACGAAAAGGAATCTTACTTCTTGAGAGTTGGAAAACCTCAAAGCCTCATTGCAAGCCAGGAATTTCATAGACTCAACTCGGTACACAGGGAAACCTAGAAAACTTCCAACTTCCTTTCTCGAAGTTATTACAAGCAAATATGTTCCTGTATAAAGTGCAAGAAGAATTTATGACAACTGACTTCAGTTTTATAAGATACTAACACAAAAACAAAAAAAAGGTAAATACTTTCATTAAATTTGGATAATATTGTACCTGCGAGCAATCTAATGGTTCCAGCCACGCCATAAATGGCAGAGGTTTTGGATGGTTTTTCAGAAGAAGATGCATCTGCAAAAACTTTAAAGTATATTAAACTCTCCAATCCAAGTTATGGAAAGTAAATATAAAATGAAATATCGCTTTTAATTAACCATGGTTAAAAAATTAATCATTTATATCCTGACGCAGAAAATAGTTTAATAACTCATTTCATTTACTCCAAAGATTTCATTCCCAAATGCTAATATTTACATTATTGGTAATTGATATTATAAAAAAAATTCATTATTCAAAAATGGCGCGATCAGGATTCTTAAAGTAGAAGCCATTCCAAACAAAGCTTAGAATTTCAGCAAGGAAAAGGGAAAAAAAAAAAAAAAAACTTGCCAGATAGTGTCTCGATGTTTCCTTCACGACGGGAAATCGAGAAGCCTTGATCGGGAGATTCGAGGGATTTGACCACGAACTTATCTTGATATTCCAGCAATTCTAGTTGATCGTAGAGCTTGAAAATTTTATCTGAAGAAGATCCGATTTCCATCTTCAACAAGTAATTGCTTTAATTATTCTTTTGGGCAAATATCAATGAATCGTTGATGGGTTGAGGATGATGATCAAGAAATGAAGAGATGTCATAACAACCGATTTGACCAACGAATAAACAGAACATTCGATTTTTTACTTCTAAAACCAGCATACTTTCTGGAAAATGACATTAGTAACCCTCATTGATCAGCGCAAACTGTAATGTAATTTTTTTTAAAATTACAATTAAATAATTAAATATTACCGACACAATCACTAAATTATCAAACAAATAAATTATTCAATAAATTAAAATATAATTATTTAAATTTAAGATAAAATTAAATTAAAATCTTACATAATAAAATTTTAATATTCGAAAACTTTCTTTTTATCATTAAGTCAAAATTTTATTGGCAACTTAAATGTAGTGCTGGGATTACTATGGTAGTGGATTACTATAATTTCCTAATAATTAAGGTTGTTTTGTCTGGAAAGATCTGTGGCTTGACGTGGGGGCAATGATAAGGTAGTCGTAGCTATACAAAGGAATTTAGTAAGGGACCCGAATATGATGATTTATTCTACTTCAACTTGTTAAGACTTATATTTAATTGTAAAATTTAATAGTATATCATTTCTATTCATTTTTAGCCACAAAAAAGATATGAGAAATTGTTTTATGACAAATGGTATGAGAAAGATTTATTTTCAATTAAATAGTGTCAATGAAATACATAGATTTGTCTTTGTTTATATATATATTTTGGTAAAAAAAATATAAAGGTAGATAAATTTTTTAATTTTTTAAATTAGGATAAAATGTACGTGTATTCGAAATAATCTTAATAAATAATTATCGATAAAATTCGAATCTAAAATTTTTTTATCAAAATAAAATAAATTTTAATCAATTAAATCAATCACTTGATAATATATATATATATATATTTATATACTTTAAAAAATGTCAATAGTTCTATCAAAATCAACATATTCTAATAGATGTTCATGTTATCATGTTAACATATTTTAACAATTTGATACTTTCACATTATTTATCAATTATAAATACTTTACTACTTTGATACTAATCATTGTTCTATTTTTAATCAGAATACTAATCATTGTTCCACATTCTATATATTCTTTCTTCCGTTCTCTTTTTCCAGATTAATTCTTAAAACCGCAACCTTTTCTTCCACCTAAATCTTAACACATACTCCGAGGAGATAAGCCTTCATGCATGTCCATGGGCCGAAATAGGGCCCAAAAAGTGGGTCCCTTAATCCGGTCTGAGTCCCCTGCCTTGGGGTTGGACTTGATCTTAGCCACAAGGCCGACAAAGGCCTGTTTCTCTTTTGGTTGTATTATCTTGTTTATATTGACACAGCAATCACAATTTAGAAGCAGAACTGATGGGCCAACCGAGCATGTCCTATTTCATCCCATACTTTTTATGAGAAAGTTCCCATAGGACCAAAGCGCCATGTAATTCATAACCTACACTTGAGAAAGGACACCAGGGGGAATCAGAAATGGATTCAACAGAGGATCATGCAGAGAATTTGCACTACAATAGATAATGATCCAGTGATTGCTCCCAGGTTATAATAATTGATGAAACGTACAACTTAAATTTAAGATCCACAATCTATCAACGCATAACCTGTAACTACATGCAGTCTTACAATCTGATAACTGCTTCAAGGGAAGCTCAAAACCCACTACTTTTTAAACAAACCAGCAAGCTCACCCTTTTCATACATCGAGGTCAGGATATCACACCCTCCAACCAGTTCTCCATTCACAAAAACTTGGGGGAATGTGGGCCAGTTACTATACTGCTTGAGTGTCTCCCTCAATCCAGAATTATATTCTTCATCAAGCACATCAACACTCTCATAATCCACTCCTTGGCTTTCAAGAATGGCAATCACTCTCTGAGAGAATCCACACATCGGGGCGCTTCTTGATCCCTTAATAAAGGCCACTACCTTGTTCTCCTTCACCAACTTATCAATGAGTTCCTCAAGTGGAACAGTCAATTGGACATGTTGACCAGGAGTAAGTCGGAGATCTGCCTTCTTTTTTGGAGGCTGCCGAACCCATGTGGTGTTCCCTGATTCATTTCCTGGAGGGACCTTTCCGGTGGTTTGTATATGTTCTTCCATCCATGACTTCCAAGCTTGAGTTAAAGCAGCTTTATCAGGTTCATTGACTACACTAACCTACAGAACGCTTAAATTGACATAATAAATATCAGGCAAGTAATAACTCTTTGATTGTCTTCACTAGTATCAACAAAGACACTAGCAGTTTTACCATAACATGAACTCTGAACAAAGTGGATTAAGAAAAACGGCTAAACAATAACCAAGCCAGGTTGACTTGGCTCATCCATCCATGCCAATGCCAATTTGGTGTATTTGAATTCAGCTTGCTTGGTAAGAATTGAAGCATGTTCTTTATTCAAAACTCTTGGATGGTTGATGATGAAATTTCTCAACCTACAATTTGTATACACCCACCTTGGTGGTACATCATTTGAGTTCCAATTCAGTTTAGTCATTGTCTAATTGATTTTCTATGACGAATTACACTGTGATAAAGATCATTCACCTTAAATGTCTGGTCATTAAGCAATCAATTCTAGCACATCCGATAATACCAGGCTACCAAAATCAGTTTTGAGATATCAAGCCCGATCCAATGACAAATAGCTATTAGCCTTTTCGCAAATAAACAGTAGAATAAAACAATCAAATTTTTGAATTTTAGTTACTAACATTTTATTCTTTTAAATTTCTCTAAAGTTGTTAAAATTGAGAATAAGTCAAAGCAGGTGTTAAAGATTGTTTCAGTTAAAGTTATTTTACAGAATAGGTGATAAGATTGATTCAGTGAATGTTAATTTACGAAACAACTATTCAAGGAACAATTCCTTCATGAAACAAATGTTCTCAGAACAACTTCCTCAATGAACAAAAGTAACACCTTTACTAAAAACTCTTGAAACACAAGTTGCTTTCCTAAGAGTTATTCCACGAAAGATATTTCACCGGATATTACTTCATTGAAAGAAGAAGTGAAAGTAACCTAAGAATATGGCAGGGTTCTTGGGTTAATTCCACTATTGAGATGTTCCGAAAAATTGTGGTGAATCAGATATGGACAAAATAGAGCTAAAAATATATGTAAATCTAATTCAGCATCAAAATCTTGTACAAAACTTGGCACTTGGCAGACTTAAGACTATTTAAATTCAATGAATTTATGGATTTGGGGTTCCCTCAAGAAAACAAAAAGAAACCCAAATTTTGTTTAAATCGGAAACTTTAAAAAATTTGACAATTTCCAAGCATTCAATTTTACAATCTTTATTCTGTTAAAATCCCATTAAACTCGAAACTTCAAGCATCACATTGGTTCAAAAATCCCCATCCATCAGCTCAGCTCGGTCAATTATTTCCGGTCACGTCTTATTTATTTCTTTCACTTTTTAATTAAATGTCTTGCATTGATTTACTCGTAAATTCTTAAACTCAACAATCAACATCCCTAGAAACAATAATAATTATAAAAGCAATATTATTAAATGTACCTTAACGGAGCAGCAAAGCTCCGGCACTGATTTTTTATGAGTAAAAAGGCTGCCACCAATGTTACGCGAGATGCCGATAAATTGAAGCTCGTCGTTTCGATCAAAGACAGCGTAGACTCCGGCATCGGATGGCAATTTCGAGGTGAATTCCTCGGGTGTGACCGGGAAAGGAACCGGTTCGACCTCCGAGAGGTTCTTGATAGCTGAAGCGATGATTAAACAGCGAGGTTTTATCGAGGTGTGGGGTCTTAGAGAAATGGAAGGGAAAGAAAGAGAAGGGCCGAAGCGTGAATAGAAGGAAAAGATAGGTGTATTTTGGGGAGTATAAAAGGAGTGTCTAGGAATTGAAGAAGAAGAGATGGAGAGTGGAGAGACATTGATTGCGGCCATTAGGAGGAACTGGTTTTGGAACAAAGCCAGAGAGGCTGTCCGAGAACGGGATGTTTCACTTCTGTTTGGAAGTTGGAACTCGAAGGACAAAGATTTTTCCGATTTCCAATTATTATTTTTTTCATTTTGTTGGAATGAAATGGGCTTAGCTTTAATTACCCAACTGACTTACAACTGAGTGTGGGCTCTGATGCAAAAGCCCTTTCAGAAATTCATATTTAGCCATGTTGGAATACTATAAGAAGTAGTAAAAGCTTTAAAAAAAAAAATAATGTCATTATTTACCTTTATACTATAATAAAATATTTAATATAATATCTTAATTCTAAAATATTTTAATATAATATTTAAACTGTAAATTAATTAATATATATATAATTATTTATTTATTACATATCATAATTTTAAATTAATTACATCAAAAATATTATTATATTAATTAATAGATTCATAAATTATATATTATATTAAAAATTTTTAAAATTTAAATATTATATTTTATTATAATTTAAAATTATCCATAATATTAACCCAATAAAAAAAATATATTACCGAACAATGAAACATGCACTTAATCTTCCAACCAAAATCCTGCCCAACCCAAAAAATTTGTAAAAAAATAAGATAAAATAAATCCCCCACTCCCGCCCCCTAGAAAAAAAAACTCATTCAACAATTTTGCTAAGGTAAGGACGATGGATATGACGTGTTAGTTCCTTGCTTTCTCTAACAGAAATTATTTTTGAAACGTCAATATATTTGGCTAAGACCTGTCTAATTCATGAGAATTTTATGATCATTTGAAAAAGTGAGCAAGACAAATAAATTATTTATGCCTTCATTCACCAATCACAGCATCAATGCAATTTCTTTTTTTTTTTTTTTTTAATTTTTATCAGAATTTCACCAAATTGGTTTTTTCACAACCACTACGGCATTATTGCCTTGCAACTTGCAATAGCAAGTTGTATGATAATATTTCCTTAACCATACTTAACGCTTTTCTTCAAAATTCCGAATGCACCCAACTCTCCTGTTCAAAAAAAAAAAAAAAAAAAACCAATGGAACATGTTGTCACTCAATGTCGCGAGACAAATTCTCCATTTTTAGGACTGTTGTCATTCATGATGTACATGTAACGTAAAATACCTGAATTGGTTTAATTCATTTTCAAGCGACAGAGTCATCTTTGAAATCACCCAAAATCTAATTTTCAAGCGATATTAACATCCACAGCCTGAAAATTACCTAAGCAGATGTCGAAGCTTGCTGGTTTACTCTATGATTTCTTTTTTCTATGTGTTCTTCGTCGATAACGATACGAGGACCTTTGATATGTGAAAATTTTAATGCATTTCAATGGATTCTTGGAAGATCGGATGATCCATTTAGGTTTATCTTGATGATGAAGCAATTGCATTTTTGCATTGGTTTTTGTGTCGAGATCAAACAGTAAAATCTGGGGTCGGAAGAATTGAAAATAGTTGCATTTGAAGACGCAATCAAGATGGCAAATTCTGTATTATTTTCCAGCTAAAAGCTGCGGTCCATTATTTGTTCTGCAAACCATTATTTTCCCAAACAGCTAAGCATCTACAGCTCCATGATTTACCAGCTAATGAACAGATATGGGATTTTTTTTGTGTTGGGGGAGATTTAGTGGTAAAAAAGGTATTGTGATTTTTTTTTGTTATTAAAAGTTATCAACAAATAACTAGAGACATTTTAGACATTTAAGCTGTCCTGACTTGAAATGTTTAATGTCACGTCAATTTGATTACGTTAATGTTATTCTCCGTTGGTCCCTTACCTTTTACCTATAAATATAAACATCTAAGTATTATCATTGGAAGCTCCATCTTGTTTTAATCCTTTATATTTTTCTCTTTCCAATCTATTTTATTTTAATCTCTGACTTGCGCATTAAAATGTAAACACAAGAAACACTTCCTACCTTTATATCTAACCGCTTTCTTCCTTCTCTTGTTCTCCTAAGAATACCCGCAGGTTGAAATTCGACATAAACATTCCCGCACTAGGTAGGGGTTTTTTCCATTTATCAGTTGAGCCAAAAGTTATGCCGCCTAAGAAAAGAGTTTTTGAGGAAAGGGAGACGGCCATCCCGGTCAGAATGGAAATGCATAACAGTTAGCACACTTGCTTTAACGTAAGTTGGTCTAACCATGGAGCAATTCCAAGCTCTAACCGAGCAAATACAAGCCCTCAAGCAAATGCTACAAACAATAATCCCACCTCAGGCTTCAAAGGTATCCGATCTAGTCACCCCCGGTCAACAAGCTGTAGAAAGGCAATCAAGCTATGAAGAGGTAGAAACTTCCTATACTTTAAAGGAAGAAGAGCATGATGTTTTGCCCATTCACCGTTACCTTAGCCACAACTCAACACATGCCACAACCCAAAAATAAAAACAAACCAATTTGGAACCCCAATCGAGCAAGACCTGGAAGCTCAAATGCAAGCTATAGAGAAAGAATTGAAAGGCACGGTGGTAACTTTCGAGGACGAGCTTAAGTTCTTGGAGACCTTGCCTTTCACTAAAGAAATTGACAGAGCTATGCCCCCAAAGAGGTTTAAAATACTAACTTTGAAAATTTATGATGATACATTTGACCTCTTTGACCATTTAGAGCTTTATAAACCTAATATGATGGCGTATGGTACAGATGAAACTCTAATGTGTAAGGGCTTGGCTACTACCCTTAAAAGTGCAACTCAATATTGGTATAGCAGCTTAAAGCTAAGGTTAATCATGATATTTAAAGAGCTTAGTCACTCTTTTCTATCTCGATTTATAAGTAGCTAAAGAACAAAGAAAAAAAACCTTGAGCAACCTATCAATTCATCAAGGTAGAAATGAATCTTTGAAAAATTATGTTACACATTTTAATACGAAAACTTTACAGTTGAAAAACCTAAAGCAACTGATCGTTGTAGTGGCCCTAACAAGTGGACTCAATGATAGAAAGTACAACCTCAAGTTGACCATGTCTTTAGAGCCACCCAAAATGTTGGTCGATGTCCTGTTTTTATTCGATAAAGATATAAATATTGAAGCTACAATGAGAAATAACCTAGGTGAGATAGGCTTATCCCTCCTCCTCGATAGTCGAGGTGAGAAAGGCTCATATCCCCTCCTCGATCATAAAAAAGTAAGACTTTCTATGATCTTCCACTAAGAAAAAGATAACATTAGGCTAAAAGCCCCAATTGAGAGAGAAACTACACTGTATTGAATACCTCTCAAGAGAGGATTTTAATGCAAATCAAAAGAAATCCAAAGCTCAGGGGGTTTAAGCCACTTAGGCAAAACACAAAGAGGGATTCAACCAAAAGATGTACCTTCTATAGAGATATAGGCCATAACACTGAGGACTGTGTCAACCTAAAAATTGAAATTGAAGCTTTGATCAAAAGAGGTCATGTAGGAAGGTTTGTGGACCAACGGAGATAAGGGCATAATAGGTTAGACTACAGAACAAACTGAAAAAGACCTATAAGGGACATGAAGGTAGGCCAAAGAAAAACAAGAAAGAAAAAGTTCAAAAAGATGAGCAAAGATAAGATGAGGGCTAAGTTACTGATAATAGACCAATTGCTTAAGTAATCAATATGATCACTAGAAAAAGTTCTACTTTGATCAAAAAAAATTTGATCAAGGTATAGTCATGGCTATCGATTCTTCGGTAAAGAAAGAAAAAAAATTGAAAAGATGAATCGATCTCATTCAGTTCGAAAGACTTAGAAGGAATTCAATACCCTTACGATGTGCTATAGTGATCATAGTTGTGGTGTACAACTATGTTGTTAAGAAGATTTTGTTTGATAATGGAAACTCAATTGATGTTTTATACCACACCATTATAAAGAAAATGAGAATCAGGGAAAAACAATTGCAACCAAATACCACAACTCTAATTGAATTTAGAAATGAATAGGTACCAGTTAAAGGGACTATTAAATTACCAATTTCTCTGGGGATGAAATCAAGGATAGTTACGTCAATCATAGAATTTATGGTTGTAGATGTTTCATCTACTTATAATATGATATTAGGCTAACCTAATCAATCTCTTATGCAGCTCATAAGCCTAGCTCCCTATCTGAAAGTAAAGTTTCTAACACCTTATGAAGTTGGAAAGGTAAGGAAAAACCAGTCTATGGCACAACAATGTTACGTTACAATAATGAAAGGAATGACTAGGAAGCATACTAACAGTTCGACTGAAGCTGAAAAGGTTAAGGAAGAAAAGTAGGCAACATAAACCTAAGAGAAGCAATAAAACAAGAGTACACACCCATAATAATAAAAAATTGACCTAATAGAAGTGTGCTCTAAGCTTTTAAGCTTAATTTCATAATAAATAAGCTTTTAACAAATTTTGTAACTTTTGAATAGATCTTGAAAGTGATCAAGCCCGTAAGTTGGCATGAACCTTTACATGTTAATAGGATCGACCTAACACACTAGTCAAAAGGAAAATTGAAATGAAATATACATATATTTTGTTCAGCTTTTACATTCTGATCATTTATCGATAATATACTAACATCATATTAGGATCAATCCCTGTAGAAATGATCCCGACCTAACTGAATAGAAAAAAAATAATTGATAAAAAAATAAGGTAAATGAGAACTGATCTGAACAACAAAAGAACTTGTGTTTATACCATTTTAGAAGAACACCCTTTGAAAGTATATACAGATTAAAATTAACCTTAAACATAAAGAGTAGTTAATCTAACTTTTGAGAAATAATACCAACTTGCTTGCTTGGACACTATCTGACATGCCCAGTATCAATACCAAGGTATGGTCCATAGGTTGCACATTAATCCGGATATGAAACTAGTTTTACAAAAAAAGAGGACTTGTACCCCAAAAAGGTAAAAGGCTATTAAAAAAAAAGTGGCAAGCTATTATAGGTAGGCTTTATTAGGGAGGTCTATTAGCCCAAATGGATAGCCAATATGGTCATAATCAAGAAACATAGTGAAAAAAAAAAAGATGTACGTTGACTTTATTGACCTTAATAAAGTATGCCCAAGAGATAGTTTTTCTCTTTTCAGTATAGATTGGCTAGTGGAT